AATGTATTACTTGGCTTTAATTTGAGTATGTTTTTCGCGTTGGAACGAATTATTTGGTTTTACATGTAATCGTATGGGAAAAGATGATCCACCTTACGACATTTTCATGATACGATCTCAGTTTCAGAACGGATTAATTTCGTATCCTGAGGTACCACTGTATAAGGAAAATGAGAGAATAAAATCTTATAAGACAAAAGAATTTTAAACATAAAAAAGGATATTACATATGATAAAACAGGTGAAAGATTTCCAGAATAATAATAAACAATTATTAATCCTGTATTTCACAAAAGACCATTTTCCAGAATTCAAGAATGATGGAAAGGCAATGAATAAAGCCTTCAAAGATTTAAACGACTTGAAATCCACAGTTCTGGGAGTTCGTTATATGTAATAAAAATTGTTTTCATAAAATTTTATTAAAGATTATTAAATGATATAAACTGTAATTACATAATATTGTACATAAAATAAAGATCTTTCATATAATTTCAAATTAACACACACACACACAAATTTCCATCCTTACCTGTTCTAATTCTGCTCTACCCTGATTGTTCTATATCTATATTTCCTTTTCATATTTATTATTATTTTTTCTTCCTTTTACTTGATTTAAGAATTATGATAATTATTTATGTGTGTGGCTTTTTGATATTTAACTGAATTCGTGAATATATACATTTTGAGACAAATAGCTACAAAATTTTGTTATATTCACAATGATGTATTAAAACACTAATTATTAAATAACCTAAACATGTAACTTACAATTACATAAATATTTAAATTCAAATTTTTAAATCCATAAATTTTTTTAAGTAAATTGCCTAACATGATTATATTTAATTATGGTGCAGAAAGCTATATTAGCATTGCACATTTTTAATTAGAAGAATATTTTGTAAACAATAAAACAAATATTTGATATTAATGAATTTTGTCTATAAAAAAGATTAACTTAGTTCTTTATTTACTTTCAAACAAATAAAAATTTTGTTAATGAATATCAAAATGTTAAAATAATAATAATTGTTCTAATTTCCTGATAAAGACATTCAGAGTATGCCAAAAACACTAGAAAGGTGATAATTTTGACAACTGCTGGGCTAATTTTTGTGATTAATGAGATTTCATGTACTATCAATAATAAGCTATTATTTATTGTGAAATCATCACAACCAGCAATTTTTGCAATCTGCTGTGCTGCAATTTTTAATCATATTTTTAATTTATTTCATTTAAAATATACAGTCGACCCCCCTATAATTACGGTCCCTATAAAAACAAGAAAAAATTGCTACCGGTATCCGTAAAAAATAGTAAAAGTTCCCTATAAACACCTCAAACGTCATCGGGCAGCCGAACTACTTNCATTTCTTATCATATTGACATGAAATTTAACTGTTAAAACACTGATTACATGGTAATATTGACTGTGATTGATGTGTTGTATGCAGATCTTCTGTAACTGTAATAGAGTCATAAATAAATATATTTAGAAATGTGATCACAAAAAACTGTAAATATGATAAAATGTTTTTCAAAAATACATTTATTGCTGTCTGAATACATTAACTTTCCACAGCTGTATGAACTGGATGTACAAGTACATTAGATTTGTTGGTATATTAGAATGCATAGCAGAGCACTTGGCACTGGTATCAACTGTTTGAAATTTGTATAAATTTGAACTTATTTATTTCCTTACTGTTCTTTACAGTATAATATAAGCATTCTATTTTTATATAGGTACATTTACATTTTTTTAATATAAAAGTCATTTTATAGTAATCTGTATTTGATTTCTTAATGATTTAATAGAAAAGATGGGCATCCCTTGTACAACACGATACTTCTACAACAATTTTGCTCTAACACTATTTTGGTTGGAAATCTCCATACAATTTTACAATTTTTAAGTGTGAACTTCATTATTCAATATTTTTTTTTTTATTCAAGTAAGCATGCATGCATGTCTCAAATTTGCCCATGGATTTTAGAATATTGAAATTTTCAATTTGTTTTGTGCCTTTTGTCAGGTTTACTTTAATGAAAACTGATAGGACAAGGAATAAAAAAATTACACTAACTTTCTTATCAACTAGGTGTCATCATAGTTTTCAGACTTTAGCCATTAGGATTGTCATTGTGTTTTCTTTTTATAGATTAATCTTCATATTTAGTAAAGTTTATTTAAACATTTTTAGGAAAGTGTAATTAAACATTTTTTAACCATAGCTATTACTTACTTATGAATGATTACTTCATTCATAAAAATGACAAAAGAAATACAGCAGTATCTCGATATTCGAACAGTTTCCAACTCAAACAATTCCATATTTGAACACACATTGTGGAAAAAATCTCTCTGTACTCGATTGAACAAACACAATCCTACAGAAGAAATTTTTGTTTAACATGTGAGAACTCAAACTGTAACGAAAATCTTTTTTCAATTTCATCATACCTATTTTGACAACTAACATTGTTGACTATCCTTTACTACCTGAGAACATCTTGATTTACATTTTCTTGATGGTGAACACGATGCTTTCCCGTGATTTGTTGACCTTTCAGCTGTCTGTTACTGATTTTAAATATCAGAATTGACAGCCAAATGAGTCAGCCATTGTCTGTTCCTCAAGGAGTAAAAATCATTGCCAAATTCTTGTGTGAGTGCCCAATCCTACTTTACTTTGGATATTTCATTCTACCCTCAGTCAACTATGCCTTTGAAAACAAACTTTCCCAAACAATCCTGATCCAGAACTTTCCTAAACAATCCTTAATGAGACAACTTTAAGGCTCTAATCACAACAAAACCTTAATCCAGGAACATCCTCTTGTGAACACCATCAATTCCAGGTATTTATTGACTTATCAACAATTGTAAACTCACTCTCTCGTGACCATCTCCATTAGATAGGTCAGTTAATCTGATATTATGATATATGTATCATGTAACCTTTTCCTTTCAAATAAATGCTTATTTGTTGTTAACCATAGAGTCTGAGTGCACTACTTCTGTTGCACTGTCTCACCATCCTCCACCTGAAATCTGATTGCCTGCACACATGGCTGCTTGTGTGACCTACTTTCAAACCCAAAATAAACTCACCATTCCATGTCGAATGAGACACAGTGGTGTCAGTCCTGACAAGGCAAAGTTATGCTGACCCTCCAGTCACAAACAAAATTTTCATTTTGTTTTATTTTAATTTGTCATCCATAAAAAATTATGATAAAAATTTTAAAAAAATTAAGATCTTGCTGATATTTCTGATCAAGATCAACAAAAAAACTCAGATAATGACAATACTTTGTAAAAAGAAAATATCCTTGTTTAACTAAAATTAATATTAATGTGTCATACAATACTTTTAATTGTGGTTGTTAGTTAATTATTGATTGTTTTAACAAACGTATTTCTCTTAATGATAAAAAGAACTACACTTTTGCTAACTTCTGGAACCTAACCTCATGTTTTGCATTAGTCCTTTGTTTCATATAGCACGGATTCACATAACACAGCACTTTTTCAGAATGTAACTACAGTGTTATAAGAGGGATAGCTATACTTCTCACTATGAGAGATTTGAAGAGTGAAAGTAAAATATGGTTACTAAGTTACAACATTTATTGTTGAAAATTATAATAACTGAAAATATCCAACAATTTAATATTTTGACAAAATGTGATATTTTCAAATCCTGCTAGTGAAACTATTGATGTAAATCTCATTCAATTTCCAGGATATTTCTTGTGTTCAATGGCCAAAGAAAGACTAAGTGATTTAACATTATTTTTTATTAAAAATTTCACATACAGCTTAAGTCTCACTAGTGAAAACAGTTGATACAAGCTCAAGTTTTCTCTGAATTTTTAGACAAATCTTAAATAGACCTACAGTGTACTAATGCAATTTACTACTTTTAAAATGAATAAATTATTTATAATTTTATAAATATTAGACTGTATCACAAAAAAATTAAAGAAATCTCAATTGGCCCATTCTATTGGAAATCCTGCACACAGATTCACTCATATGTCATTATCCCACTATAGATGCACTGTTTCAAAAATACTTGTTTATTACAAAGAAACTGTGCTCTTTTAGTACCTGAAAAGTGTAAATGACCCAATACAAGCTCCATAGTCTTTGATGGGAAATTCTACTTATTATTCTCCAGACATTGCACCATCCTAGTAACATGTTTTCTTTGTGTTCAACAATCATCAATTCAATCAAAAATTCTGAAACTAAGAAGTGTAAAAACAGCTTTCTTCACTTCAAGAGATAAAGATTTCTACTAGATTTTACAGTACAAACTTTTAACTCATTGGAAATCAGTTATAGATTGTGCTGGTGTATACTTTCCCATATAAAATATCTTTATTCACTTTTTTACATAAAGTTTACCACACATTCTTTTGGATACGAAACACTATAAATGTTCAAATATTAAAATAAATGCAATAAACAATGGCTGATTTTGTTATTAGACTGATTCGTTTATAGTATATGTGTCAAAATATAAATTTTATTTTTATTTCTGGAAATTTTAAAACTTTTACTGAAGAAAATTTTCTAACTATTAAATATAATCTTCAACAACTATAAAAACAAAAAGTAATGAAATATTTTTCCAAAACTATAATTTAAGAAGTTTAATATTTTCTAATTTCATCAAAATACAAAAACAAAATTACCATATGTTCTTTTCAGACTTTTTTCTTCTTCAACATTTTGTACTGGTTGTGGAGGGGGTGGTGGTGGTTTCTGAAAACAACTGGGATCTATACCAAGAGAACGACATTTAGATTTGTGCTTGTTCCCTGTAAAAAAAGTATATAATTAATAAAAATGTCATACAAAAATCAGAAGTAAAATAGCAATGTATTAAAAAGCCTTTTTTACCAACATATTTTATTGCAAAAGCTTTTCAAAACTGACAATATATTTTTATAGGGAATATGTTGGAAAATATCTGTTATTAAAAATATGCATGCATACAATGCAAGATTAACAAAATAAAACTTCAGAAAATTTTTAAAATGGGTAATCCAAAATCAAATTATAAGAAAACTATTTTTTTATTGGAATAAACTTGGAGAGCATCTGACTGCTGTGTTATTGATATTAATTCCTGATTTTCTTTTTAGGTAAATTTATTATTATGGCTCCTAAATTGAATAGGAAATCATTCTTTCCAATTTTGAAGGAAGCTTTTAAAAGGGAACAAAGAATTGTTTGTTTAGCTATTAGAAAAAAACTTTGATGTGGAAGAGGATGTGTGGGTACTGTTACATTTACATCTTTCATTAAACTCTGAAGTTGATGAATTTATTTCTAGGTTAAGCTATATAGTAGAATTCATTCTACTATATAGCCTAACCTAGAAATAAATCATATTCCCTAAATTTCTTCTAAATTTAGGGAATATGATTTATTTCTAGGTTAGACTATTTAGGGAATATGATGTTAGATTAACAGTAGTAGAAAAAGTAGTCAGCAAAAAGTGCAGTTTGATTGACAAGGATATTGTAAGCAATATTGCAACTGAAAATTAGATTTTTTTGGATAATCAAAGGAAAATCATTATTGAGTTTCCTTTGATCTGGTATGTCTGAGGATCAGGCTGAGTCACCTGCAGATACAAAAAATGAAATTTGTTGAAGAAATTATGCAGTTATTACATATTAATATTATTGAAATAGAGGAAGTGCACCTTGCTTAGTCATTTTTGTATTCAGTGATCCTTATGACAAGAAGTTTAATAAAAAGTAAGTAATACAAAAAAAAAAAAACTGGAGAGTATTTTTGTAAATAATGATCTCATCTAGATTAAGAGAGATTAGGGATAGACTTCATTCTTTTGGCAGAAAACAATAGCTTTCTGGTGTACAGTTGGTAAAAATAATGTATTATAAAGTGTTAATGGTGCAAATATTTTTATGATGTAACTTGTAGTCAAGTCAAGGATATGTCTTCACAGCAATTCCAAAACATGAATTTATCATCACTGATTTGGAATTGTGTAGGTTTATTGAACAAGTCAGTCAAATTTAGAATTATTTATTGCAGTTCAGCATGATTTTTCTTTTCAAAACTTGGCATGATTCTTCTAAAAACAATTCTCAATTGCAGGAATATCTAATGCATTATAAGTTACTTTTCAGTAAAGTATTTAGAATATATTTTAGCAGTTGCTTTTGTACTAGTTGATTATTGACAATTAGGTCAGCATTTTTGTTTGCAGTTATTTATCAGTATGACTATCATTATTATTAAGTTCAGTCCCAAATTGGAAAATATATTAGTCTGTTTTGTTTACTTTCAAGACCAGAATTGGCAAGTTATTTTGGATACACTTTTAGAATCGACATTGGTGAGAAATAATAATATAGCAATTATGGGGGATTTTAATACAAGAACTGGAGTGAAGAATAAACTTTCTAAATCCATTTTTATTTATTTTAATTAAAATTGTATTCTGTATAGAAGATCAAAAATTGGAACAGTTAATTCTTTCACTAGAAAGTTACTTCAATTTTGCAAGGATTTGAGTTTGATCAATTTAAATGAAAGATGTTTAGATGAGGCTGGTGAATATACATCTCTTTCCAGACAAGGGTGATATGTTATTGATTTAGTCTTAGATTCTCCCTCTGTTTAAAAGAGTGGTTTCTTTTGTGGTGGATCAAGGTCCTCACTTTTGTGATTGATAGTGGCAGGGAAAAATATGATATCACTTAAAGATAAACACTTCATTAAAATAATTTTTTGGGATGAATCTATTAATAAAAGGAAAGAATTGGTTGTCACATTGAAGAATGTTTTTGATCCCTTGCAGTTAGATTCAATTAATGATTTAAGTGATTTTTTTTGCAGGACTGATTGGGAAAACAGTTTTAATATAAGAATGAAACATAAACTAAGCTTTTGGTTTGATACTGATTGCCCTAAGTTAATTAGATCAATTAATAAAGCTTAGAGACTATTAACAAAAAGTAATGATTTGCATGATTGCATTTTATGCTAAGTTATGGCGTCTGGTAAGCAGACTTGTAGAGAAAAATAATTTTTTCTGTATAAAATACAGAATAGTTTTGTAAAAAATAATAGGTTTTTTTGGAATTATTTTTATGAGATCAAAAGAAATGGATCTCATGATATCAGATATACATCTACTGATTAATGATAGAGCCATTTTTATGATTTGTTTGGTCTAGTGAGCCTTATTTAGTGAATAATTCTATGTTTAATTTTTGTGTTAACTAGTTTGATTTTTTACGTATGAAAATTACAAAGCCTGAAATGGATTTTACTTTGAAAAAACTAAGTCAAATAAGGCTTCAGGAATTGATGGAATTTCATTGGAATTTTGGAATATTCAGAATATAAAGCCTTATTCAGTATTTTTTCAGAAGGAATTTTGAATGTGACAAGATTCCTGATGTTTGGTAGTAAGTGTTTTGGTACCTGTTTTTAAGTTTACTTGAGAGAGATGTTCCAAGTAATTTATAGAGAAATCTGAATACCATATTTATCAAAATTGTTTTGTAGTATATTATATAGATGGTGGTGAGTAGGAAAAGAAAGCTTACATGGAAATTAAGCAGGTCTTCATCCTGGCTATACTAGGGTAGATAATATCTTTGTCTTTTACACTGTAATACAGAAAACGTTTTTAAAAAAACACAGTAGACATATGTCTTTTTTGCAGTTTTATTATCAGCTTTTGTTACAATTAACAGAATTTACTATGGTTGAGAATATCACAATATGATTTTAGTTACAGGTTTGTTTTTATGTTAAGTGAATTGTATGAAAGTATTAGAGATGGAAGAATATATTCATCAGCTATGTACTCAAAGTTTGGAGTCAAATAAGGTTCTATTTCAACCCATTTTATTTAATGTATTTCTGAATGATCTCATTGAAAATACTAACAATTCAGCAGATAATATTGATATATATCACTTACACAGATAATAATGTAATTTTATCAGATTCTGTGATTGTTTTGTAGAGAATTATTGATTTATTGGTTAATTATTTATATAAAAACAATTTGAAATTGAATCTGCTAGGAACAGTGAGAATTCTAGTTCAATTAAATGATGGTTTAATGGATTTCTGGACAGATTACAATTAGTTATAGATATCTGGAGATTTTTCCAGTAATGGATGTTTTCATTTTCACTATTTAAACAAGAGAATGAAAACTAGAGTTCTTTTGAACAGTGTTATTCAATTGGAAAAAAGCAGCTAGGCTTCATACTTTATATTATCTACGAGAGCAGTTTTTTTTTTTGAAGCTCCGATGGTCCATAAAACAAAGACAACTATAAATAACAAAATGTCTGAGACTAATGATGATCTTCAAAACAACGTTGTTAAGGCCATCTTAATTCATTGGTGGCAACATTCTATGACAAGGGGATGGAAAAGCTCATCCACAGATATGACAAATGCCTCAAATCTTCACGGTGATTATGTTGAAAAGTAACCATGTTTGTACCTAACTTTTGGTAATAAATTCATTTTGTTATTTACACTTGTCTTTTTTTTATGGACCAACAAAGCTTGGGAAAAAAACAGCTTATGTACATTTATTAAATTGATAAAATTTATCATCAAATTAAATTTATAAAATTGATGGTATTTCCTTCTCCATTATATGTCTCAGAAATATGGGAGTTTTCAACTGACTGATAGGACAAAATACAAGTTGAATTTACTAAAAAGTATTTGGTTTGCATTCATTTACCCTAAGGTCTTTTGTCTATTTGGAAAGTCTGCTGACCCTCTAAAATCATTCATTTGTAGAAGATTAAATAATTGACTTATCAGAACTTCTAGGCTAAATGAATCATGTTTAAATAAAGTGTTTAAAACTTATAGTAAATAATAATAATAATAATTTGGATTGGTCTCATTCCTTTAATAATTTATGTATAAAGAAAAATATTGGTTTATTAGTACAAGATTTGAAGTTAGTGGACTGGTTATTCAATAATATTTTTTATAAATTTTTGCATTGTATTTATTCAGGTATTGATGAGATTAGATCAGTACTGTAGTTAGTATAAGATTTTAGAAGTAAATTTTTCTGATAACTCCTTATATAATCAACGGGTTTTACTCAATGTATTATCCTTTTATATACAGATTAGGTGTAATTCTCTTGTTTTCTTGAATAAGGAATCATGACTAAACATGAGCTAGAGTATCTTGAAAGTTTTTGAGTCCTAAATATTGAAAAGTTCAGTCTATAAATTAAAAAATCCTTGTTTTTTAACAAAAGAGAAAGAATTTAAAAACATTTGTAATTTTTAAATGTGAAACATTTTTATTTTGTTAATTATATTCTTTTAGCTAAAGATAACTTAAATTAATAGTAAAAAAACATTTCTAACTAAACATTTTTGATAACCTTAACTTTAGCATTTAGTTTCTTTGTTGTTGCTATAATGTTGCCATATTTTGTGGAATTTTATGATAATTTGGTACTTTACACTAAAACTATTAATAAAATCACAATTTATAATTAAACATTTTTTCGAATAATATAACTATTATGAAAAACTTTTGTATATTTTTTACCAGTTAGATGCATCTGCAATTGTTGTGAACTATTTCCAATAACATCACAAATTTCACATCGAAGAGAATTGCTAACACCTTTGGGCTGAACAACTTTACCTAAAAAAGTAAGAATTTTAAAAATTAAGTTATATTAAACAATATATTGTAT